AAATTTGGACGTTTGTATTAGTATTCCTTCACCTCACCTCGAGTGTGGATTGGCTTTCCGATCAAGGTACAGTGCGCAATTATACGGGTATGTAAGGTAAGCAGTCGATCCAAGTCCTGGAGCTTGGTTCCTTCATTCAAAATCTCAGACTAGGTTAGGGAGACCCGCAAAGAAAATGAGAAAAGCAAAAGCTCACTTGCGTTGGCCGGGAATCGAACCCGGGTCAACTGCTTGGAAGGCAGCTATGCTAACCACTATACCACCAACGCCGACACCTACAGCCCCTTCGAATTAATTTTTATAGATGTTTGCAAGGTTGCCATCTAAGTGATGTGATTTAGGAGTTGATTTAGGCCCGAAGACAGGATATGAACAAAATGAAGATAAATATATAACTGAAGTCTAAGGGACACTCACGTGTGACAAGCACTCGACTCCCATCACTTCCAGTGCGCTCCGATCACCACACGGAAGACGGCGTAATTATCCCCAGTCTACCGATTAGGAAACATGGTTTAGAGAAAATGAAGGTATTTTCTGAATCATTGTCACAGTTGGGATTAAATCTAAGATCTGTCAGAAAGGCCAAGACTACAGCAACACCACTTTATCACTCCCAGAAATGCCCCAGTCGCTTCTCTGTTTAGTGTACTTAATGTGCCAAGATTAATAGCCATATTTAAAACAAATGTCCCTAAGCACAATTTATCCAACTTTATGTCCTACGTGTGCGTGCAAGTAATCCACTAGCGACTTGAAGAACCAGACATGAGAACAGAGAAGACAAAGATAAAACTCCGCCCCTAGTTGCTGACGGTAAGTCTATTCACCAGATCTGTCAAGCCGCGGACTCGGAGGGGCCTCGTGGCGCAACGGTAGCGCGTCTGACTCCAGATCAGAAGGTTGCGTGTTCAAATCACGTCGGGGTCAAGAAAGTTATTTTCGCTACCTGGATGACTCACACTGACCATTTTTTAAAAAAATATCTCTTTTTATTGTATTAAAAAAATAGGAGCCTAAGTATTTCTATGATTTTCCTTCAAAACTGAGTTTTCCCCAAAAATATAAATTTTGGAATTTTCATCTCACTGCTTCAATGAAATAAAGATCTCATAGATCTGTATCCTAAAACAAATCTTTTATGAGTAGTCCCCAATTCTTGTTCAGAGAATGTATTGGAGCCATAATTGTTCTTTACTAGAAAAAAAATTAGCAATCATCAATAATTTTAAGATAATGGAAGTTTTAAATCATTATCCTAAATTATCTTTTAAGTTTGGTCAGCTAAACCTCCACTTGTCTATGTGTCCACAGTTTTGCACTCTATAATTTTCACTTCTCATTGTCATTTAAATATAGTTCAATAGCCCTTACAGATTTTCATTTTATTGAGAAATGATTGACATACGTGACTGCATAAGTTTAAGGAGTATAACACCGTGGTTTGATTTACATATATTATAAAATGATTATCACACCAGATTCACCTAATATCCATCTTCTCATATATATACAATAAAAAGTAAAGAAAGAAACTGAGAACTCTTAGGGCCATTCTCTTACCAACTTTCTTATATCTCATTCAATGGTGTTAACTATAGTTATTATTTATAATCACATCCTTGGACTTATTTATTTTATAACTGGAAGTATAGGCCTTTGATCACCTTTCTCTAGTTTTCCCACCCCTTTCCCCTTCTTCCCTCTGAGAACCACAAATCTGATCTCGTTCCTATGGGTTTATTTTTCTTTTTGCTTTTGTTTTAGAGTCCACATTTAAGTGAAATCACATGGTATTTGTTCTTGTCTGACTTATTTCATTTAGCATAATGCCTTCAAAACCCATAAATGCTGTCACAAATGATTGGACTTCCTTGGATTGTTTTTTATTGATGACTAAATAATATTCCATTATACACCTTTACCACAATTTCTTTATCCATACATCTGGGGCCCAGGTGATGTATTAGTCATAATAATAGGTACCATTGCTTTAGTGACCTTGTTCCATTTCATCCCAAAGCTAACCCTTCAGGGCAGTATAACTGCCCATTTGAAAGCTGACATTCAAAAAGATTGACCATCCTGCTCAGATTGCAAGTAGCCGGCCCAGAGGCAAATCTGTAACATCTAAGCTGATAGTTTTTCCGCTACATCCTGCTGAGAATTGTTCCCTGAAACCGACCTAAGTAGTCACTAAAAAAAGGGAATCACTGGTATCACTGGTTAGGGAAGACAGGTTGTAAGATGTGGTTTTTAGTGTAGAAGAGCCCTGGAGATGTTAGGGTTTAAATTTTTCCAGTTAGGGCTTTCCCTGGTGGCTCAGTTGGTTAAATTTCAGCATTATGAAGCTACCGCAGCTATAACAGCTCAAGTTGGATCCCTGGCCAGGTGACCCACATGATGTGGCAGACCTCTCTTGAACCACCCACTGCTGCCCTCAACAATGTATTTCAGTACCTCTTCTAACCCACTCTGATGATCCTCTCAGCATTATCAGTAAATCTGCCTGTTCTGTTCCCCATTCCTCTCGAGTGAATCCTCTCTCTCTCTCCCTCTCTCTCTCACCCATGCACCTCTGGCCTACACCCCAGCTCTTGTATGCATAAATAAATAAAGTAAATCTTTTTTTTTAAGATCTATTTATTTATTTATTTATTTATTTATTTATTTATTTATTTATAGGGTGAGAGGCAGAGACAGAGACAGAGTGGGAAGCAGAACAGGCAGATCGATGAAGTACACTGCTGAGGGGAACAGCGGGCGAGACAGGAGAGGTCTGCTGTGCCATGTGGGTCACTGACGTGGCAGGCGGGGATGGAACTCTTCTGGAAGTTACTTAAGTTTCTTAGTGCTGTGCTTTAGCCCGCTGTGCCACCTGGGAGGGCCAAATAAAGTAAATCTTTAAAAAAGAGAGAGAGAGAGAGAGAGAGAAATTTAAGATAAGAGCTGGGAAAATGGGCATATCTGGCCAATCACAACACAGGATGAATAGAGGGGAAAACATTTAAATATCCCCTAATTACGGTCCCATTGGCGAAACTGCCTTGGAATCTTTTGTTCTTTTTCCGTTGAATAAACTTTTTCTGACTTTCTTGAATAAAGCTTGCTTCTCTTTGCTTACTTTTCTAAAAAGTCTGTGAATTCCTTTTTATGGCTTTGTGGAACCAGAATCTGTGGTGATTCAAGACCTAAATTAACAGTGCATGTGGGCTTCAACGGGAGGTGGTCCAGCCCCTTATACTGTTCCAGCTGAGGAGAAGTAGAAGCAAAGAAAGAAGACCGAATAGTCTGGTGCTGACAGACTTTGTTTTGAGTCAACCTCTTTTGTAACATATTCAATTAAAAGTTGAACTAGGCCCTCCCTGGTGGCTCATAGGCTTATAGCACAGCACTATGAAGCAATCCGCAGCCACTGTAGCACGATTTGGATTCCCAGCCAGGGAGGTGACCCATATGGCACAGCAGACCTCTTCCTGACCTGTCCACTGCTCCCCTCAGCAGTGTATTTCAGTCCATCTGCCTGTTCTGTTCCCTGCTCTGTCTCTGGTGAACCCTGCATCTCTGGCCTGTACCCCAGTTCTTGTATGCATAAATAATAAATCTTAAAGGGAAAAAAAATAAAGTTGAACTAAAGAAAAGGGAGGGGGAAGGGACTACTTTGTGGGATGTGCTTCCCAAGTATATATTATCTAGCCATCCTGCCTCTGAACACAACCTTTGGAATATAACCCACTTCTGACCCTTTCCAGTCATGTGAAAACTGAACACTGGAAAAGAGTGACATTTTTATTGTGTTTTTTAAAAGTGTTGACAAGCGTGGATTGAATATAATTAATGCTGATCCAATTGAGAAGCAGTGGGATAAACAACAGAGTTTTTGTTCATTAACTTGTAAGGCAGCTGATAGTTGCCTACCTAATAGAACAGATAGTTTTTGTTTGTTTTTAATGAATAGTTCAAAACCATTCGTATGCTGCCCTATCACATATTCCCAAAAGGCCAAATACCTTAACATGATGTACAAAAGGGAATGTAAAAATTGCAGGAGGCAAGGATACTATATCGGCTCTATCAGACATAGCTATTCATGCACTGGGTTCCGGAAGTATGCATGTTGGAAAAAATGTAGCATATAAATGATGCGACATTATCCCTGACTTCAGACATCCACTGAGGGACCCGTACCGTATCTCCCACCCCTAGCCCCCTTGAGGAGTAAGAGGCAACTAAATGCTTTATTTACCCTACTAGGGTTGGGTAGAAACCCCTCTGGAAGCAGGATAGTTTAACGAATGGTCCTGGCGTAACCGGCTTTCCTCCAGTAGCAACCAAAGTTAAATCCTGATTTATATATGCACAAAGACAAATTACAGCTAGCTTAAAGATTAAATTTTTGTTTAAAAAAAAAAACTTTTAATTTGGGCGTGACAATTTCCTAAACTGAAACGCGCCCGGCCATTTGTATTCCGCTTTTTCCATTGGGTGCCAGCGGGTTCTGTCATGGGGCATCCAGCCAATGACAATGGACCTGGGTGATGCGCTCGGCCAATGAATCCATGGCGGGAGATTTGAAAAAGTCTCGGCCGTGGCACCGCACAACAGATTTAGGCATTTGCCAGTGTCCAGGGGTGACATTGCCACTGGCTCCAGGTGAGCTGACCTTTCGCAGACCTTGCGCTGGAAGAGGGCAGGTAATCAGGCAGGTCCAGGTTCCGTTGAACCGGCCCGCACTCACTCAAACAGCTGATGGGGGTGCTCAAGGGTGGAGAGGAGTTCCGGAGGGACTTAGGGAGGGGACGGGTAGCTGCTCCGGTAGCTGAGCCGACAATGGGTGGTGGGGGGCGCAAGCGCACTGGTGTGCCCTGATGCCGCCTGCGTGCAGACCTCCTTCCTTTCTCCAGCTCCAAGCAAGCGCTTGCAGCTAGACCGATCGGCGCCTCCTTCGCTCTCACCCTCTTTTTTTCCCTGCTTCTTACAGCTCAGTATCCCTCCTCTGCCCAGCTATCCTCCCCTTTTCCCTCTAAGGATGGCCCAGAAGGAGAACGCCTACCCCTGGCCCTACGGCCGGCAGACGGTAAGGGCTTTCCACCTTCCAACCCGCTCCCCACATCTGCTCTTTACCTCTTCCCGGCGAGTTCTTGTATAGAGATTTGAGATTCTGCAGAGGGCAATCCTAAATCTTCCCTGTTATGCTCCAAAGTATAGGGTCCACAAGTTTACTGGCAGAATCCGATCAGGTGTCTCCAACTTGAATCTGACCAGCCTGTGAAGACCTGAGGGCTGAGCTTACCTATCATATACAAATGACATCTGGGACTGAGCAGACAGCCGCTGGCCTTCAAGTCATGAATCACAGCCCTTGTCTTGAAAAAAAAAAAGAAAGAAAAACTGGCTCGAACGGAAATAGAAATAGACTCTGGAAGATTTTAGATAAGTTTAAAAGATCCAGGACAAGTATAAACTAATAATTGGAATTTATTTTAATGACTGAGGTAGGTAGGGATATAAGTAGATTTATTATCTTGTCCCAACACCTTTCACTGAGGAATCTATCCTCAGGTTGGAAATGCCACCTTTGTTATAAATATTAAACCTGAGTCTATTTCTGGGTTCTACTTGGTTCAACTTGCATATTTGTGAATTTTGGACTTAAGTCAGTCTTGGGAACAGGCTTTTAGGGGGCACTGAGACTTTCTACCTCTTGGCTAAAGAAGAGGGAAGGGGCTCTCATAGGCTTTGCTACTGGTTGATAGGGATTGGGGAATCCTGGATCACTGAGTGAGTATGCCAAGAGTGGAGACTGAGAAACCACTGTCACTTCTACATTGGTCACAGCATATATGCCTCTGATGTTGAAAGTGATCAGTGATTCAGGGCCATGAGAGTAGCCTTCAAGAAAATACTGGTATTTTCCGCAGTATTCAAGAACTCTATGACCTTACTTAAGCCTGAATAGACTGAATTATTTAGGGGGCTATTTGAATACCTCTGTGCCAAAAGCTCTCACTTGTAGGTATTCATTACTCCATTGCCCACGGGGGTGGGTGCTGGGTAAATAAGCGTGGTGTTGTGGACAGAACTATGGAAGCTGAATAGCCCTGTGCCTTTTGCCTCGTTGGGGTAGGGCCAAAGAGGTAAAATGTTAGATGTTGGGGTAAGTCTTTTGCTATTTTTCTTAGGCTGTCTTAGGTTGTTTATTAAAGACCCATTTTACTATGGGACAATGAGCAAGCAGACTCTTGGGACTGAGCAGTAAATTGTAGTCTCATTGTCCCTCTGTGAACTGAGAATAGATGGGTGGGTGACTGGCAAACAGAATGCTGATAGTAGCACATTCCAACCATGTCACTGAGACAAAAGCACCCTCAGTCCCCCCACCACCACCATCACCCTGTTCCTCCTCAGGCTCAATCTGGTCTCAACACCCTGCCCCAGAGAGTCCTCCGGAAGGATCCTACCACCCCATCTGCACTTGTCCTCATGAACCGCTCCAATACTCAACCCACAGGTAACTGGGACAAAGGAAAGAGGATTGACTTGAGAGGATTTAGAGTCTGTGAAGAGAGTCTCAACTGACCTGTTATTTCCTTAGCTGCCCCTGGTCAGAAGGTAGTGGAGAACAGCAGTGGTACACCCAACCTCTCAATGTGAGTACCTAAGCCTTGGTGTAGCAGGAGAGGGGGTGGAAAGTGAACAGGTAGGAAATAAAGGAGGTTTAGGGCAGGAAGAGCAGGGATTGGGGACAGGGAAGCCCAGTTTATCCTGATTCAACTCCCTTCAAAAAAGGACAGGGTGGGGGACAGAAGAAAACAGAACACTACTCCCCCCCAGATAACTGACCAACCAGCACTCAGTTGCCTTCCCCCCACTTTCTACTCAGGCGATCTTTCACCATTGATGATTTTGAAATCGGACGTCCCTTGGGCAAAGGCAAGTTTGGAAATGTGTACTTGGCTCGGGAGAAGAAAAGCCATTTCATCGTGGCGCTCAAGGTCCTCTTCAAGTCCCAGATAGAGAAGGAGGGTGTGGAGCATCAACTGCGCAGAGAGATCGAAATCCAGGCCCATCTGCAGTACGAGTCCTGCCCTCTGAACTGAAGCCCCCCTGCTCCTTCCGCCCCAGTTCCTCTTTCAGTCCCATATTCAGACTGTTTTCTCTGTCCCAGCCAGAGCCTTGAATCCAGAGAGCTGCTTCCAGTTCTTCCTCAACATTACCAGCCCTGGTGTCCCCCCACCTGGTCCAAGTCTGACCCCAACTTGGTTCATATGAGACCTGTCACCTTTCCATTTCCTTATGTCAGGATGTGACCTGAGGTCTTCTCTGTCTCTTCTAGACATCCCAATATCTTGCGTCTCTACAACTATTTCTATGACCGGCGAAGGATCTACTTGATTCTGGAGTATGCCCCCCGGGGTGAGCTCTATAAGGAACTGCAGAAGAGCCGTACTTTTGATGAGCAGCGTACCGCCACGGTCAGGGCCGGTGGGCACCAGGGGGCCGAGGCTGCGGTAGCTGCTTGCTGCTGTAGGTCTGTCCTCCGCTGACTGCCTGTCCTTGGCCGTCCTAGATCATGGAGGAACTGGCGGATGCTCTCATATACTGCCATGGGAAGAAGGTGATTCACAGAGACATAAAGCCAGAGAATCTGCTCTTGGGGCTCCAGGGAGAGCTGAAGATTGCTGACTTCGGCTGGTCTGTGCACGCCCCCTCCCTGAGGTATGGTGGACCAGAAGGCTGGCCTCATGTGAGGCTAGCATGTTCAAAATAATACCACTCCAAATCTCATTACCTAGAGATATTTGGGTTTGCCCTCATGTAAATACAGACACAGCAGCATCACTTCAAAAGTAGGAGACTCACAGTTTGGTTGCCCAGGTTTTCTACTTAATATATTGGGGAATCTGCCATATCACTGAGACTATCCCCACACCATTTTTTTTTTTTTTAAAGATTTATTTACTCATACAGAACTGGGGTACAGGCCAGAGATGCGGAGGGTGAGACCAGAGATGCGGAGGGTGAGAGGATTCACCAGAGACAGAGCTGGGAGCAGAACAGGCAGATCGATGAAGTACACTGCTGAGGGGAGCAGCGGTCAGGTCAGGACAGGTCTGCTACGGCCACCAGTGAGGGCCTCCCCACACCATTTTTAATAGTTTAATGGTATTGCACAGTGGAACTGTAACCTGATTTGTTTAAGCAGGGCATGCTTGATGGACATTCAAGATGTCCCTCATTTTTCCTTTAATTGTTAGATGATAATTGCCCTCATGTCTAATTATTTAAGATACATCCCTCAGGGTGGAAAGACTGGGGCAGTGTAAAAATCCATTCCTAGGCCTTTGGTTTCCAATTTCATCCCACTCCCATCCCAAAGGCCCTGTCAATCTGGCTGGGGCACTACCCTGGAGTCTCTTGGCTCCCTGTCAGTGGCTGGGAAAGAAGAGAGGATCTGTGACTGGGATCACAGCCTTGTGACAGATGTTGACTTTTATCAAAGGTTTTTCTGGATCTATTGTTTATTTGCTCTTAATCAATGTGCTGAAATATGTCAATAAATATTCTTATTTTTATTTATCTCAATTACTCATGCTGTGCTTGATTGTCCAGTGTTTGTATCAGTCTACATTCCCATACCCACCAGGAGGAAGACAATGTGTGGTACCCTGGACTACCTGCCCCCAGAGATGATTGAAGGCCGCACTCACAATGAGAAAGTGGATCTGTGGTGCATCGGGGTACTCTGCTATGAACTGCTGGTGGGAAGCCCGCCCTTTGAGAGTGCGTCACACAATGAGACTTACCGGCGCATAGTCAAGGTGGGCGCTGGGTGGATGGGTCAGTGTGTCTGGCTGAGGCTTTGTGCTAGCTACTGAGGCCAGGACTGGAGGTTTGGTGGCCCTGCCTACCTCTCCAAATAGTCAGGGAAAAAGCAGTCAGAATGAAACTAATAGGATCCTTCCTTCTTCTGTCTGTTTCTGCAGGTAGACCTTAAGTTTCCACTTTCTGTGCCCTCGGGAGCCCAGGACCTCATCACCAAGCTGCTCAAGCATAATCCCTCCGAACGCCTGCCTCTGACCCAGGTCTCAGCCCACCCTTGGGTCCGGGCCCACTCTCGGAGGGTGCTGCCTCCCTCTGCCCTTCAGTCTGTCCCCTGAATTGTCCTTGTTGTTAACTCAGTTGTGTCCATGTTTGTATGTCTCTATATATGTGTTGGAAGGAGGGGTCCCTGGCCTATTCCTTGATCTGGCTTCTACCTCCTTTTTATTTAATAAAAGCTGAAGCTTTTTATACTGCTGAGTGCAGATGCTTACAGGTGGAGAGTGCTGTGAAGGAAGCAGTGCCCTGTGGAGAGGAGATGGGGAATTGCCCAGGCTGCGTGCTGTGGGTGGGTACTGCCTCACTGTCCCTGGTACCACCTGCCCTTTCAGCACTGGCACCACCCTCACTGTCTTTTCTTCCCCCTGTTCTGTCTGTCAGGGCCTGGGAGTGCTGGGCCCTTGACTCCACTCTACAGCCATCTCCACCGAGCATCTCCACATCACATGCAATTCTCTGATCTCTAGTCTTTCCTCTTCTGGCTCAGCCCCTGCCCACTCAGAAACAACTGAACATTGCTGTCTCCTGGGGGTGTCTTTTGTTTTGTCTTACTGCTCGCTGGTCAGGATTTAACATGATTGAAAAGATTACTGATGGTATCTTATTCCAGACCAAAGGCATCACCTACATTTGGTACTTACTATGGGTTTACTCATTTTAAAGATAAGGAAACTGAGACACAGAGGAGCTATATAATATATAATTTGCCAAATGTCACACTAGTAAGGGGAGCTTGATTTTTAAATCCAAAGTCCACATTCTTTAATATCAAGCTAGAGTTGGTATAATGGCCTTTCTACAGCACACATATGTATGTATATGTGTGTGTGTGTGTATATATATATATATATATATATATATATATATATATATATCACAGGATTGGAACAAAAATTAGTTTTGACTATTACTGGGTGCAGTTTTTGGTTTTATTTTTTTTAAGTCCTTTATCAGGTTAAGTAAGGCCTACTGTCTTACTAGTTGCTAAGGGTCTAAGTTTTTTTTGTATCATGAATAGATGTTGACTTTTATCAAAGATTTTTCTGCATCTATTGTTTATTTGCTCTTAATCAATGTGCTGAAATATGTCAATAAATATTCTTATTTTTATTTATCTCAGGTACTCATGCTGCGCTTGATTGTCCAGTGTTTATGCAACAATCTGTTATTTTCCTTTCTGTACTTTATTTTGTTTTTCTAAAGATTTATTTATTTATGCATAGAAGAACTGGGGTACAGGCCAGAGATGCTGGGGGTGGGAGGATTCACCAGAAATAGAATGGGGAGCAGAACAGGCAGATGGACTGAAATACACTGCTGAGGGGAGCAGCAGGCGGGACAGGAGAGGTCTGCTGTGACATGCAGGTCACCTCCCTGACCTGGGATTAAATTTGCACTGCAGTGGCTGTGGACAGCTTCTCAGTGTTTTGCTTAACCCCTTGCACCACCAGGGAGACCCTTTGTACAATTTTTGACTGTCCCTGACATCAATTATCCTGTGTCATTTGCTGAATACCCAATATACAGAACACTAATTTGTCTCTAAATACCCCACTAATCTGAGCATAAATCTATCACCATCCATTCAAGTGTTTCTCCTTTGCACCTCACACAGGACTAATATGGAATGCATGTTATTATTATTTAGTTTTCAGTATTCTCTACCATTATGACTTCTTCCCTGAGTATTTCAAAGATATTAGTAAAATTTCAAACACTCTTCTCTTCCAGCAATGGTGCTCTGCCCCCATTTCTCCTTTACCCTCACTTAGGCATATGCCCTATGCTTGCTGACCCAGCTTCCTTATACCTAGGACTTGAGTTCAAGCCCTGTATTGTCTCTTTTATTTTAAAAATATATTTATTTGTTATGCACATAAGAGTTGGGGTATAGACTAGAGGTGCAAGGTGAGAGGATTCACTAGAGACAGAGTGGGGAGCAGAATGGAAGAATCCACTGAAATACACTGCTGAGGGGAGCAGCGGATGAGACAGGAGAGGTTCGCTGTGCCACGTGGGTCATCTCCCTGGCCAGGGACAGAACACATGCTGCAATGGCTGCATAGTTGAGTCTCATAGTTCTGAGACTCAACCTCTTGTGCCACCAGGGAGGCCCCCTGTATTGTCTCTTTTAAAGCATTTTTGTTTGTTTACACAAATGTTTCATTGTAAATAAATATGGTGAAATTCTATTTTTCCAGTTATCCTAATATCAACTTGATGAAGGATAAGGATAGAAAAACTGGAAAGGAAGCCACAACAACTCCAAATAAGCGACAGCTTGGCAACATCTTCCTAGCCTCCTTTTCTTTGTATTTACATTTATATCTATGTATGTCTGGAAAACGGCTTTCTTTTTAACATGTGGGGTTTTTATGTAAATAGTATTGCATTGCAGGTATTATTTTGTTATATCTTTTTGTCCTTATGCCTTGGAAGGCTCTTGTACTGACAGTCTGGATAGATTTTGTTTTGTTTAAGGCATTCTGTTGCAGACTATTTTCAATGATTTGCATTCTGGTCATGTCTTCCCCATACCTTTCTGGGCTCCTGTGTGAGTTTGTTTGTGAGTTTGTTTGGGGAAGATCTAGAGCAGGGTGTGGCAATGCACGATCCTGGAGTAAGGCTCAGATAAATGTCACCTGGACATTGCCCAATTGCTTTCCAAGATAGTAAATAAGGTGAAAATGGAATTTCACCTTATTTATTTACAATGAGACATTTGTGTAAACAAACAAAAAGCATTCTGCTTGCACTCCCAGCAGCAAGAATGGAGGCTACCCAGTTTTCCTGAAGCCTTCATGCTAACACTACCTAAATATTTCCCCAAGGTGTTGGGTTTCAATTCTCCAAGTCTCAAAGCTCCCCCTACTGTCCAATCTTATGAACTCCCCTTAAATTCCTCTGAAACAAGCGGTGGAATGAGACCGGGATTTTATAAACCAACCACCAACTCTCCCAAACTACACTACCCACATGTCAGCTACTCACCCCCCACTCCCACCCTCCAGTGGAACAAGTTCCCTGCCCTATCAGAGGCCAGCCCTGCAGATGTACTCTGTATCTGGTCCTCTTGCCATTCAACTATTCCAGCAACTATTCCTTTTGTCCTTTCCGTTGCCACATAACCCTTTGGCTACATGATTTGTATCACCACTTAGTGATGCACCAAATATGTAGTATCTGGACCCCACAGCTCTTTCTTCCAATTTTCTCTCAACAAAATTTCTCAAGTACACTGCCTATACAGTCTATGCTAATTCCCTCACCTCTTAAGTCACCATGACCTGTGTCCTCACTCACTGTCACCCCTCAGCAGTCAAAACTGCCCCAGTCAAATCTGATGGGCCCTTTCCTGAGCTTACCTCTCAGCCACACTCAACACCAGTGATCTTTCTCCTCTAGAAATCCCCCACCTTCCACTTGTAGAATTGCCCTGTCTCCTTCATCCTCCTGGACTAGCTCACCATGTCCTATAAGTGACCTGAGCAGGATTCTCCTCTGAGCCCTGAGCTCACAATTCCCACTGCCTAAAGAGATTTTTAGTGCAAGAGGTGGCAAACATCTGTACAAATTCTAGTGGTAACCATTTAAGACTTTACAGGTCAATTAGCCTCTGTTGAAATTACTTAACTCTGCCATTACAGTGTGAAAGCAATCACAGATAACTACATAAATGAGTTGCTGTACCTCAGTAAAACTTTATGGACACTGGAATTTGAATTTTGTAGCATTTTATGAATTTTTCATATTTTTAGAATTTTTGGTGATCATTTAAAAATATAAAAACCATTCTTTTAAAGATTTATTTATTTGTGCATAAAAGAGCTGAGGTATCAGCCAGAGGTGCAGGGTAGATGGTGAAAGGATTCACCAGAGACAGAACTGTGAGCAAAACAGGCAGATTTACTGAAGTCCACTGCTGAGGGAAGCAGTGGGCAAAATAGGAGAGGTCTGCGGCTCCATGTGGGTCAGCTCCCTGGTGAGGGATCTAACTCAAACCACAGCGGCAATAGAATGATAGTGATGAGACTGAACCCCTATACCCCAGGGAGGCCCGTAAAATGTAAAATCCATTTTTTACTATCAGGCCATATAAAAGCAGGCGGTAAACCAGAATTGGCCCATGGCCCATATTGTTGACTCCTGATATAGTGGACACTGTGGTCCAACAGTCTTTTCTCCTTCCCTATTGTGTTACAGTTACTTGAGTTTGGAGAGATCTGACCTATCCTTCTATCTAGGACATGCATAATTCTCTTGACCAAATCAATTCATTCTTATCACCTTGTCAGAGTGATTGATTCTGCGTACCCAGTTCTAAGTCAATCAGACAAAGTGTAGCCCTGGCCAAAGTGACTAAATTGGGCATGTGAATTAGTTTAAGTCAATGATATGGGAGATTAATTGGAACTCTTGGGAAAGTTTATGCTTGCTGTACTGTAAGATCTAATGGAAGTTATTTCTCCCCCTCTGGAAGGTGTAGTAGTATATTGACCAGGATTACTGGACACAACAGAAAACAATTCTGGCTCATTTAAGCAAAGAGGCCTCATAGGCACCTTGGGTAATTCACAAATTCTCTTGGAGTGAGTGCAAGAATCTCTAGGAGGCCTAGGCTTGGAGTTTACCCAGCCAGGAACAATTCCACTGAAGAAGTGGTCCAGCAGGCCATAGTGGAGCCTACACCATGTGCTAGGGAAGCTGGGAAACATGCTGCTTGGTATTCCAGATTTTGTAGTGGGAAATGGGCTCTGGCTGGTGAGATGGACTTGGATTCTGGAAGCCAAAATGAATGACTAATGTCCCCTTCCATGTGTTATGGACTAAGTGTTTTTGTCCATCCCAAATTCGTGTATTGAAGTTCTAATCTCCAATGGTAACCTTTTAGACTTAAAGGCCAATTAGCCTCTGTTGAAACTACTTAACTCTGCCATTACAGTGTGAAACAGGTTTAGCTGAGGTCATGAGAGTGGGGCCTCATGTTAGGAGTAGGCCAGAGAGCTCACCATGGGGCAAACCAGGAAGAGGAATCTCACCAGGAACTAAATCAACTGGTGCCTCGCACTTCCCAGCCTCCAGAATTGTAGGACATAAATGTCTGTTTGAAAGACCTAGTATATGGCATTTTGTTATGACAGCCCAAGCAGACTATACAATAGCAAAGAATGAGAAATGACAGAGCCATTTTGCTACCATGAGGAACCCCTCAAGAGAAAAAGTGAGCTCCTGAGACCAAAAACATATTCTTCATGACAGCCTTAGGGACTGAATCCAGACTTTTTGGGTATGCACTGAGTCTTGAAACCATCATTACACGACACAATAAATTCCCCTTGTTTTTTTGTTTTGTTTGTTCAATTTATGTCACTTGTTGAATAAAGAGCATCTGCCAAATGAGTAAAACAAGACAAAAAGGGCATCAGTCCCAGAGAGAAGGGGAGAAACATTTAGAATAGCCCACTGATTTCCTGGTGTATTTGTCAAGACTCTCTGTGATGTAAATGACAGAAACACAGAATGCATTCAAATCAAAAAGGGAAAATGAAGAGTATAGGGTCATTTGCTGAATAAATATTTATTAAGCATCTATTGTATGCCAGTCACTGTTCAAAGTATAGAGGGTACAGATGAGAACAAAGTCAAGAACCATATCCTCATGGGACTTCCATGGACAAGTAAGCAAATACATAGTAAGTAAGATGATGATAAAAGCTATGGAGCAAAGCCGGGCAGGAAGATTGAGGAGATCTCACAGAAAATGAAACATTTGAATGAGGATCTAAAAGACAGAAGCAATATCCAAGTAGAAAATATCCCTTGGTAGATTCAGTCTTTAAAAAAAAAAAGGCAACAGCAGCATAAACCCCTGAGGGGTTTATAGGCATAGGCAGGGTCAGCGAGGGAGAGAAGGAAGAGATGAGCTCAAAATGGAAATCAGGGATCTGATCTTCAAATAAGACCTTCCATTTATAGAATATTTTTACCTCGTGTCAGAAATCACACATCCTCCCCCAAGGAGACTCTCAAACGTGGAGGGTGAGGAGACAGAGAAGCGTGCAAGAACACAGTAAAGTTAGTTCTTAAACTTGTCCCGCCGTCCACCGTGAGTCTCTGTGCGCAGCTCTCCTGCTAGCTAGCCGAGGAAAGCATTCAGGCACTGGCTGAGAACTCCGGCTTCGTCCTTGATCAAAAAGGTCCGATGCAAATCCGGTGGGTCACTTAGGACCGTCCAAGAACCTCTCTAGGCCCGTTCCAAGAACGTGTCCAGGAATTCCTTCTGGTACCCACTTGGTGTTTGCTACGCAAACGTTGTGGGCGGAAAGAGCCTCAGTCTCGCCCCCGCAGGACTCCAGCATTTCAGGACCTTCACTTTAAGATCTGCCCCCTCAACTTTTTGAACGGGCGGGGGAGAGGAACGCAGCTGTCACCTCCTTCTCTAGAACCAAGGGGACGCTCACGTGGGACCCCCTGTTCAACAACGACTCTACTTCCGGAACTTCCTGGTCTCACAACCAATCAAAACGTTCTTCCTGTCGGTACCATTGTCAACCCGCAGCCAATCGGCGCGCCTCTACCAACGCCCCTTAAAGGCGCCTCCAGGACTTCCCAAAACCCAGGTGAACCAATTCAGTGGTTCCTGCCGCTAACTGCAGCATGGAGTCGTCCCGGGGGCGGCCTGGGCCCGAGGCGGACCTTCTGGCTCTGGGGGAACAGCAAGCCACAATGTTCAGTGGGGGGCCGGGCCGAACGCCCTCTGAGTCGTCCTCAGGCCTCCGGGTGTCCGGGGAGGAAGAGGCCGAGAACGTTGGAGGCTCCAGCCGCCACCCTAGGGTGTCCCTTAAGACTTCGAGCTGCAGCGTCGCCCACCGGCCAGAACGGGAGGTTCGGGAGAACGAACCCGGCCGGGGAGGGACGCCGTCTGGGGTCGGGAGCCGCGGGGAGACGACCCGTCCAGAACACGGCGCGCACGAGTCCTCTCGGAGTAAGGAACCTGAGGAAAAACCCCTGGAGGAAAAGCCTGCACCCGAGCGGGTCGGCCGTCGAGGGAGCCCGGGAGGCGTGGGGATGGATGTTGAGCTGGAGAAGGAAGACGACGAGGAGGCGGGGGCGGTCGGCAGGGCTGGCCGATCGTTCTCCAGCCGCCTTCAGGACAGCCGCAGCCTGGACGGACTGAGTGGGGCGTGTGGTGGCTCCGGGTCCACCGGGGCTGCTGAGCCTGGCGCCGGCGGTGGGCGTCGCGCCACCATCTCCAGCCCCCTGGAGCTCGAGGGTACGGTGAGCCGCCATGGCGACCTCACCCACTTCGTTGCCAACAACCTGCAACTCAAAATTCGTCTGAGCGCTACCCCTCAACCTCTGCCTCCTGCCCCTGCGCGGCCCTGTTCAGCACCTCCACCCACTCCAGCTATTCCCCCCATCGATCCCGACGTGCTGCGGGACCTGGAACGGCTGAGTCGGGAGCTGGGTGGCCGGGTGGACCGTCTGCTGCGAGGGCTGGGTGGTGCGGTACAGGAGCTGACAGCGTTGAGTGTGGGCTGCATCCAGACCTACCGTGATGCCGTGGACTCCCTAGGCGAAGCGGTGGACATGAGCATCAAGGGCATGTACACCCTGCTAGCGCGCTGCGAGGAGCTAGAGAGGGCGCTGCAGCCGGTTCAGGGGCTGGCACGCCAAGTTCGGGATATCAGACGCACCCTGGAAGTGTTGGAGGCCCTGTGCAAGTGACCAGGAGTGCAAGGGATGCCTGGCCAACCAGGCCAGAGGCCACCAGAACCCTGAGGATTCTTCAAGAAGCCCTGATGGGAACTGCCAGCTGAGGGGAAGCCTGGATGTTGGAGGCTCTTCCAGATGAATTTAGCAGGCCCGCCCCCCCACCCCCCTCTGGATTTTTGTTGCCGGTGTATACGGGGAAAATCTATACTTTCTTCTAGTGGGAACGGATGATGCTCTGCTTCTGTTAGTTAGCGTCTGTAGCTACCTTGTTTTCCTCAACTTTCTTCCCTAACTAAAGCATCATCACTGAGAACCCAGGGTTTTAGGTCTCGACTTGGAGGATATTATTGCTCTGTGTGACCAAGGAAATAGAACAGAAGAGACCCCATCCTCCACTGTGGCCATCCTGACTCTAGTGGCTACATCTCAGGTGCCAAGGGCTGTGGAAAATTGAGTGGCCCTTAGAACATATCATTCAAAAGAGGATGCACACCTGCGGGTGGATAACCTGCTTCCTGCGCTCTGGCCTCCTGCCATTTCCCTTTCCCAGTAAGAATGGAATGAAGCTAGGAGGAATGCACTGCATGATGCAGGGGGGTGAGTTGGGAGGGATTTCTCTGCTCTCAGGGTTCAGGTAGAATTGTTGCTGGTTTTGAAGCCCACCTGTTGTGGAGTGTTCTAAACAGTTTTGACTTTCTGAGTTTTTGTGGAATTAAAGTGCTGCTGCTGCTAAGGCTGAGGCTGAGTCTGTATGGGGTTAGGGATTGATGAGCCAAAGGAATGGGAGTGAGTCTTGCTCTTTTCCCGTGGAACTTCCCTTGGGACTGGTGCTGGGAGTGGAGTGGGGTGGATATGTTTCTTGTTTTGGGGCAGTGGATCTTAAGGGAAATGCACATCACAGAAATAGGCTCAGAGAACCAAAGAAAAAAACTGAAGAAATTCTCCAAAAAAGGAAGGGAAAAGGTTCTATTAGGTCCTGAAGTGGATAAGCAGGTGCAGGGCAAATAGAACACCTTGGTTTTGTAGGGAAACTGGGAACCCTCCTTAGTTCCATTCTTGACTCCATTTTCCACATTCCTTTAACCAGTGTTTTATGTCTGTTTTGATACATTGTTATAACCTCGGCTGCCTTCTATTTACGTTCAAATAATAAATTCCAGGAGACCTATGCCTGGTCAGATCTAGAATTCTGGTTTCTTTAAATCTTCCTCATCCACCCTTCTCAATATATCTATACTTGGGACTGAATGTCAGTACTTTTCTACTTTTCTCTTTGAGTGTAAAACGTTCCGGGATTGGGAGTGTTGCTCAAGCTTTCTCATACGACATCTAAAAACATTTGAAATTACGAATCTTAAAAAAAAAAAAATTGGCCCGTACGGGGATCGAACCCGCGACCTTGGCGTTATTAGCACCACGCTCTAACCAACTGAGCTAACCGGCCGGCTCGATTACGTGCACTCATAGGAAACTCTGTAGAAGACAAACTAATGCTCTGTATTGTAAGCGAAAGTTTTTTACAGGGAAGTACTACAATGAAATGAAAAACATTTACCGTGAAAAGCGGAATACAAACATGGGACCTGTAGTATACACGTAATTAGACAGTTTCTGGCCGATTACTGAAGTGAAAGAATGGATTGACATGCGGGGAAATATCATGCCAAATGTCAAGGGGCTCTCCACGAAGTTTATACACAAAAGCAAGAAACACTGTGGAGGCACCGCTGGGATTCGAACCCAGGATCTCCTGTTTACTAGACAGGCGCTTTAACCAACTAAGCCACGGCGCCCCCTCGCTGGGGGCTGGCGCAATAGTTCCCTGGCCAAATCAGTTCCGTGACACCTACAGGGCCATTTATAATTAATTATTGGTAAAGTTAATGACGCAAAAGGGGCGGGAAACAAGAGATCAGTAGAGAGATGACGGAAATAATGAATTTGGGGAAGAGGTAAGGCGAAGATAAATTCTTGATTACAAAACTGTAACGCCAGCATAAGGCCACCGCAAGCCGACGAGGATGGGATTCGAACCCACGCGTGCAGAGCACAATGGATTAGCAGTCCATCGCCTTAACCACTCGGCCACCTCGTCTACAGGAAAGCGCTTTGGCTTCTTCTCTCTGGGGTTTGAGCTCTTACTCCTAACTACGTGTGAAATCACTAAGCATTCGTGGAGAGCACAATGGGAGACATCCCTCCCCCAATACAGTGAAAACCACTCAGTGCGTTGTCAAACCAAGCCACCTAGCGGTCCCAAGCACCCGATCCTTCTTCCTCTGCTGAGCAATCCCGAGGATGTGCCAGTTCTCAGGAATTCTGTTATTGCCCAACTTCCCCGTACATGGATGTGCCGCAAAAAACCACAAGATCGTTGGGCACTCCGGGTGGGGAGGGCTGGTATTTCGCACCAGAAACTCTCCTTTTCTAGCCTCTACAAGATCCTTGTTTTCAGGTCTCTGGGACTCGAACCTAGAACGGAATGAAGGGAATAAATAAAAGCAACCGAAACCATGTAGGAGAGGAGGGTAAATAAGTAAGCTGACCCCGACGTGATTTGAACACGCAACCTTCTGATCTGGAGTCAGACGCGCTACCGTTGCGCCACGAGGTCGGCTGGCCGCATGGGTGGACAGGTCACTTCATGGCCAGTTGTCATCCAGGCGACCTTGGGTCCTGGAGATCGCGGCGCGAAAGCTACAGGATTTTTCCGAATTTCTAAAGTCCTTCCAGTGTGATACCTGCTCTCTCCCAACAGCCCTGTGTGTGAGCATGGTCTGCGGCGCCCAGCAAGGCAGCTTTTTGCGGGCTCAAGGCTCAGCTGTCCATATGACCCAATTTCTGGCGTCCTGCTGACGACTATTTGGAAGGTCTGGGTCAACTGGGGAAATCAGGCTTCACAGGCCAGAGGGACAGATTTTTGCACAAAACGGGTGGAAGAATGGGTAGTTGGCCGAATATGATGCAGCCATGCTAGAGACCAGGACAACCTAAAGGGTAAGAAATTATCTCCTCTAGCCCCCTAGCCCCGCGTCTCAGTCCCTGGTTGCACGTTACAACCTCTCGAGGAGGCTTCAAAATAGCCACGCATAAGCTCCTGGTTCAGAGATTCTGATTTAAGCAGTCCACGGTAGAGACCTGTGTTGGAGACCAGCTCCAACTATTGAGGTATCTTGAGGCAAGACAGGCAGGACCCTAAGGTGGGAAGGCGTCGGTGAGTGGAAATTCCTAAAAAAGGGGGAAAGGGAGAAAAAAGGGCAAAGGGAAGCGAGGAAGACACCGGAGTCAGAGTGCAAGTCTTCCTGCTCTGCCTTCAGCAGAGGTTTATTTTATACATTACAAGCAAGCAGTGGGATGACATCAGCACACGAACTAGGCTGAGAGATTACAATCATCTTTTTTTTCTACGAACAGTTTAGGGTCGTATTGCCCTTTAGCTGAGATATAACATTTTAAAATCAATTAAGGTTAAAAACAGGTACATAAGTGCACAAAGTTTATGACTAATATTACTATAGTGGAGATCAACTAAGATAGAAGTCCCTTAAACCTTATCTACTACTTAATGGGTTTTTGTTTTTCTGCCTGAATCATCCTGGGAGACAGAAGAGGAAATTCCTTGCTAATCAAATCTCTGAATAGGAGACATAGGTGGATTTCCTTATCTGAAGACTACATAGTAGAATCCTGAAAAACTAGCAAGAAGACTTTTGTGGATTCCTTTAAGGTGTAGCAGGTGGAAAACTTTAAAAACAGGCAACCTGGATGAATTTCCACATCCAAAGGCCAAACAATAGGAAGTTTGAGTAATTCTTTAGAAGCTGAATAGAAGACTAGGTGAGATGATAGAATGATAAGATTTGGGTTTTCCTCCATTGGCAGTGAGAGAGACTTTGCAAAAACAGCCCTTTTGCTTTTATTTATCAGTCAGTAATCAAGTCACTTGACTTCAGGGGAATTTTTCACCCTGGTGCAGTGCTTGCTTGTCAGGGCAGGCAGGCCTTATGCGGCTGCCTGTAAGCTGAAAGTTGCTCAGAATATTTTGATATTACGATTATACAAAAAAGGGAGGTCATAACATAAGTTAGCGTGGAAAGTCTGATTTTTCAGAACAATTCCCCTCCATCCGGACCATCTCTGACGAGAGAGTTGCATAGCTTGTGTCAGACCTGTCATCGGTATTCAGTCACATTCTACAATTTTGAAGAGTAACTTACACACACAATGCACAGATCTTAAAATGTAACTTTTGGAGACCCTTAACTGGTTCAAGATTATGGGACTTTTCCTTCCTACAGGAAAGTTTCTCTTCCCTTCCCAGACACTGCCCCACACCTACCTTCCCATCACTAATGTGTTGGGAAATAATCTTGATCAAACTTGCCAACTCTTCCATTTGCAAACGAAAGTAATGATGTCGGTGCTGTATATTGTATACCACTCAATAAAAATGTGGCTACTTAAAAAATATATAGTAACAACTGCAATGGACTGAAATACAGAAAAGATATTAAAATCGACAAGTTCACAATGATCCTAAAAACAACTCCTTCTTTAGAGAATGCTAGGAAACCACCTCATTATTCTGAAAGCTGGCAAACAACAGGAGGGGAAAAAGTTACACATTTATCCTGCCTTTCCTGTATGACCTGTACCTCATGGCAAACAATTAGCTGATGAGAGCACTTTCTTATTTATAGAAGAATCCCAGGGGATAAATGCAAAAGGAATGATATAATTCAGACATGCACATTTTGAAACCCTTCATGAAATGGAACCAGGCAGAGATGTTCAATTGAACCAGTAGGTGAAAATCTAATGGAGATCTTATAGTTGCCTTATTATGACTATATCTGAAGCCACCACTCAGACTGAAGACCAAAATGAGAGCCACGTGGGCATTATGAGCCTCCTGGTGTGATGAAATGAAAAAACACAAGATACCACCCACGAAGCATTTTTATCAAAAAATTGAACATGAGACTGATCGATTATTAACTCTAACAACCAGTGTACAGGAAGTGAGGAAATAAATATTAATTGGCATTACCAAAATAGAGTCTACAAAAGGCTTAGTCTTTAATAGATAAATTGCAAGAAAACAAGGGAGAGGGGGAGGCAGGAGAAAGAACATAAGATAAAAAAAGACTTAAGAAATGTCATTCTCTCTCCTGCAGCCACCCAAGATGGAGAAAGGAAAGAAGGCTGAAGGCAAGAAGGTGGTTCCAGTCCCTGCTGTACATGAAGGAACAGGAGGTCAAGAAAGTAAGTTCCCTATTTGAGAAAAGATCCAAGAATTTTGGTATTGAACAGGACACCCAGTCCAAAAGGGACCTCACCTGTTTTGTCAAGTGGCTCTGCTACATCAGCTGCAGCTATCCTCTGCGAGAGGCTCGAAGTGCCCTGAACCACTTCACACAGGCCTTAGACTGCCAGTCACTCACCTGCTGAAGGTGGCCTTGCAGTGCAAACCAGAGACAAAGCAAGAAAAGCCCTGGCTGAGAAGAAAGCTGCTGGCAAAAGGGATGTCCCCACTAACAGGCCTTTTGTCTGTGAGACAGAAGTTGATACTGTTATTGCCTTTTTGGAAAACAAGATTCAGCAGGAAGGGACTGTACATGACTGGATCCCAGTGAACTGGATGTTTCCTGCCTGCCCTGTATCAAATGAATGGGGTTCCCTAATGCATTGTCAAAGGGAGGGCCAAACTGGGGCATCTCAGCATCTCACCCACAGGAAGACTTATACAACTGCCATCTTCAGACGGGTTAATTCAGAAGTCAAAGGAGCTCTGGATAAGCTGGTGGAAGTTACCAGATATGATGAAATTCAGTCACTGTGAAGGCATCATGCTGGGTCCAAGTTAGCAGATATGATGAAATTCAGTGGAGGCAACATGCTGGGTCCAAAATTGGTGGTGTGAATCGTTAGACTAGAAAGGCAACAGCTAAAGAACTTGTCACCAAACTGGGCTAACAGTGTTGTTGCATCTTCTACACATAAACTAACAAATATTGTCCTAAAAAAAAATTAGTGACAGGAGACAGGACCTCCCTGGTTAAAGTTTCGGGGCTATCAAGCTATCAGCAGCCATTGCCACGAGTTGGATCCCTAACCAGGAAGCTAACCCACATGACCAACAGACCTCTCCTGTCTCACCTGCTGCTCCCCTCACCAGTGTATTCCAGTAGATCCGCCTATTCTGCTCCCCACTCTGTCTCTGGTGAATCATTTCACCACATACCTCTCACTTATACCCCAGTTCTTGTATGCATAAATAAAAATAAAGCTTTAAAAAAAGAATAGTGACACACCAACTAGGTATTATGTATAGACTTTTTTTGTCTATACATATTCAAAGCAAACTTTAAAACATATACATATGAGCCCATTTGAACTATTTGATCATGTTCAGGATTTGCTTTAATATAATTTAGTGGGGCTAAGAGGGACAGAATAGCTGAAATGAGGTTAGCCAACTCCTGGTAATTGTTGAAGCCAAATGGTAGACTTCAAAGGGCTTCATTACACTATTTTCCTTATTTAAGAGCATGTTTGAATTTTTTCTAGGATAATTTTGTTTTCTAAGTTCTTTTATGATTAGTTCAAATTTCCAGTGTTCCACCTCTGAAAGGAGTGGACACTTGTCATACCTCCTATGGCCACAGGCCGGCTCCAAAACTCACTTTTTTGAGATCTTTCTAGGGCAGGCTTCTGTGACTCAAGGTCATGGAAAAGAGTGAAAGACTCAAGGTCTTGAAAATGATTGGACAGATCTAAATGTAGACTGTTTATTAATTTACAATATGAAACAAATTGCTATGTAATAAATCTCCTAGGCAGGATTATATTGCCCATTATAAGCAAAATATCCCAAACTTTTACCTTCTGGAGCCCAAAATCTGACAATCCTTGACACCTCTTTTTTCTCACCCAACCCCAAGTTCCAGACCTTTTTCTGTCTCTTGATTCCTTCTACTTCACTCCTTCTTGACTATCGTGGCCCAACCTTTCTGTCCTTTCTGGATAACTGTCTGGGTCTTCACTAGCCTTCTGTTAAAATCTTTTAAAACCCATTCTCCATGTTGCAATCAAAGTCATCTTCCAGAATATATTTCTGTTATGTCCCTTCACCTGGCTGCATGGTCTGACATGATCTGACCCTTGTTTATCCAGCCTTCCTCATCCTGACCTTTCATTACTACTGTAGGTTTTAGAAATACTAGCTTCCTTTCTAAGCTTGTTCCCACCTAAGGATCTTTATACTTACTGTTCTGCCACCAGGATATGCTTTCTCCAGATCTTGATATTGCTGACTCCTTCTTATCATTCTGTTTGTTCCTGGGACTTTGGAAAATCTTCCAAAAGCAGATTCTGGGCTTTCCTCACTTTCATTCAGTAAAAGTGCTTCCTCATCTGTTAGTAGTTCAGATTTGTTAAACAGTTTTTGAGAGAACTGGGCTTTAACTGAGCTGTTCCATGAGGAAAGGCATATACAAGCTTCAGGGAGAGGGAGGAAAAGCATGAGCCATCCTTGCATCCACTCTATTGTGCAACTGACTCCACACTTGCTATGCTGTAACTGTCATGCTGGAAAGTACACAGAGGAAGCCCATCTCTCATTGTACTTTATTTATAGTCACTATCACTCATTTTGAAGGTCTAATAGCAATGAGGATCATGCAAGGTCATAGTTTGTCCACAGTTCTTGATGGATTTGCCTGTCCCTTGATATTTATACATATTTTCAGAACTTTAAAATGGTTTAAAGAACCTCCCCTATATACCTGAGAACTTACAAACTAGATAAAAAACTAGGCAATAGCTTATCATGCAGTATTTTTTTAGTAGAAAATAGAGACATTGCTAAGTTTTAAAATTTTATTTTATGAGTTTAGGTGATCACATTACCTTCATATTAAGGAAAAAGTTATACAGTCCTCTAAAGAGGTAGTTTTTAGAGGTAGCCCTCTAAAGGTAGTTTACCTTCAAAAAAAAAAAAGAGGCAATTTTATATGAAAATGTCATTGTTTAATTTCAATATGTAGGAGTTTTACAGGGACCCTCAGTCTCAGAACTTAGTTTTTCTTTTTATAAATTAGCCTAATGTCTCATTGATAACACGGGGTAAAACCTGGAAGGAAAACCTTAAAAAGCTAATTATTTAAAACTTTTTATTTTAAAATATTTGACTTACAGAGAAGTTGCAAAAATAATACAAAAAATTCCCACATGCCTTCACCGACATTTACATTGTAATTGTCTTTTTCTATCTCTACAGGTACTAATGTAACCTTTTCTAACCTATTTGAGAGTAAACTGCAGACATGTGTCACTTTACCCTAAACACTTCAGTGTTTTCTAACAAGGATATTCTCTTCCCAAAGTACAAAATTATAAAAAATCAAAATTACAGTACTGTTATCTGCACGAGAGCCCTTACTCAAATATTACAATTGTTCCATGAGTGTTCTTTATAATAAAAGAAGTATTTTTTGGGGTGTGAAGGCCAGGATCCATTAGGTTCACACATCAAGTCTGTCATGTGAAATTTGTCACATCTCTTTGGTTTTCCTTAATCTAGAAATGTTGTTCCTCAGTCTTTGTCCTTCATGACCTTGAAGAGACATCTTTTGACTCTTTTTTTCACCCGTGGATTTAGAAAAAGGAACTCCACTTGTTACATTGGGGACCCAGCAGAGAGAAATGTATTTCCTTTCAACTTGACCACAGTTCTTAAAACAACATTTAAGAATATATGACCTATTTCCGAAAAGCCTTTCTATGACCATATTATTCTAGTGTTTCTATTATAAAGTGTTTTTTTTTTTTTTAAAGGATAGGTTTATTAGGAAGGGAGAGAGACAGCTGCATAGTCACAGGTGGGAAGAATTGCAGAAAGTGTTATTTATAGCACTTATCACCAGATGGATTTGTTCCCGTGTGTTAATCTTCTTGACTAAAATATAAATGCTCAAGAGGTAGAAAATTCTTAGTTCAGCAAGAGTGAGAGTCCAAAAGAGCGTCTGGCATCTTTACTTGTTGGTCAATGAATACTTGTTTTAATATGAATCAGAAATTCCTCCTAAAATAGTTTGTTTAAAGGCACAGATGGGGAGGGAAAATATATGGTTCTTTTGAGAAGTACAGGGAGGTCCTAAGAAGCTTGGGGTTTGACTGTGCAGAGCTCAGGCTAGAAATTTCTGTTCTGTGGCCCAGAGATCAATGAGGTCGCCTACAGTAAGAGGTCTTGGAGCTGGACAAGGCGGGGTGTATACACCTGAAAGATACAGGGAAATCGGAGCAGTCTATATGTATGATCTTGCCTTAGGGGGATGCACCTAAGGTATCATTTCCTTTTTCTACTCCCCTCCATTCTGGCCCCTTTCGTCCACTGCTTCCCCCGAAACACCCTAGTTCGAGACTGCTACTATATTCTGCAGTCTGCAAACCTCTTACCAAACTAAGCAAAGCTTACTGGGGAGTCGAGTGGGGGTGGAATGAGAATTAAGGACGATTCACATAACCAGCTCCACTGACAATAAAACCGGCCTCTCCACTTCCGGTTCCCAACAACTGCTCCAGGAATGCCGAGCGGGTAGGGAAGAGAAAGCCCGTGTCTTGGGACGAGCCGTGCCCTAAGCCCAAATGGAGATTACATAGGTGTGCAGGGAGCAATTTTACTCCGAGGGTCATCCTAGGCAACACAGCGGGTGCTGGGGGGGATAAGCCGCTCCGGTGTGCGCCGCCAGAGACCAAGGGGCTCCTTGGGATAGGGCAGGGCAGGTTTCAGTTCATCAGCCCTGCGCGGGCAGATTCGGTAGTGTGGGACAGCGCCACACCGCACACGCTCCAGGGCCGGCCGCTCGACAGCTCACAAGGTGGAGACAGTGGGGTCAGGAACCCCAACACTACAGGACTCAGACCTGTCCTCTCCATCCGCACCACGGATAAGCCGTTTACTGCTCTCGCGAGACTTTCAGATCACTGCGCGCAGCGTCAATTTACGTGGTTGTCAAGGCAACTGGGCGGTGCCAGCGCGAGCGGGAAGGAGGCTTTTGTCGAATTTTTACCCGCTAACCTAGTCTTCAGGAGTAGCCTTATCAAAACATCCAGCCCCAGAGATCACGTCCTCTGTTCGAGGCCATGGGTCAGATTTCGGGGCTCGTGCCCTCTCGCTTCCTGACGCTCCTGGCGCACCTGGTGGTCGTCATCACCTTATTCTGGTCCCGGGTAAGACCCTAGACCATCTCTCTCCCTTTTCCATTCCCACCTCTGGGTGGTCCCCGTCCCACCCTGCCCCTCTTCGCTGGGACACGCCTGGTCGGGTCTTCTCTTCCCGTTACCCCCAGACCTGCTCTGCAGCACGCCCCTCTTTTCACTTCTCTTCCTCTTTGCCCTGTTTCCCAGGACAGCAACATCCAGGCCTGCCTGCCTCTCACGTTCACCCCAGAGGAGTATGAGAAGCAGGACATTCAGTGAGCGCTTAGGGCGGGATGGTAGAATTAAGCAGTAGAGGGAGTGGAGGGGATTTAGAAGTTCAGAAGGCTTGAGCCAACCCCCTTCCTCTCTGCAGGTTGGTGGTTGCGCTCTCTGTCACCTTGGGCCTCTTTGCAGTGGAGCTAGCTGGTTTCTTCTCAGGAGTTTCCATGTTCAACAGCACCCAGAGTCTCATCTGTATCCTTTCCGTCTGTGCACCTTTCCCTTCCCACATGACCCATTTCCATGACAACTCTTTGTGAACGTTAAACTAGGCTTTCCTGGCACAGTAGTGTCTGTGCACATAGGCAGAATCTTTCCAATTTGAAGAAGTTCTTAGGCAATGCAAAATTATTTACAGTCTTTGCACATTTGTTATGCAACAGGCACTGAAGATTTCAAAATGGGAGTAACATGCAGTTTTCTAGGTTGAGGAAGAGGCAGGCCATAGACATCTGTAGTTCATTGTTACATACATTATGCTATAAGAGAGTGTGAATATATAAAACTCTGGGGTCTCTGAAGAGACAAAGCTGGATTAGGGAGAGCTGTTAGCACTTGAATTGTAGATCTGGATGCTGGAGGGTGATTCAGTGAGTGGGGTTAGGGATAGCCAGGAGGTCCCATCTGTGCAGGCTCAGCTTCTACCCACAAGGCTGTCCTAATATCAGATGACAGACTGCCGGCTCTGGCCTTTGTAATATGGTGAAAGAGTAAGAGGTGAACCTGAATGTAGATGTCAACCCCACCACTGACCTTTTCTGGCCTCCCCTACCAATCTAGCCAAAAACTTTCCTTGACTTTGGTGTGTTCCAAGCCATTGGGGCTCATTGTAGTGCGTCGGTGGCCCTGTCTTTTTTCATATTCGAGCGTTGGGAGTGTACCACATACTGGTACATTTTTGCCTTCTGCAGGTACAGTAGTGCATGGGGGTAAGGTTATCTAAATCTGAATCTTTCCCCAACCTAGCCCTTTACTCTATGTCCGAGATATCAGATCCACCCAGCATCCTGTAGTTTTTTGGAGTTTCCCATTCTTCTGGCTACACTGTGTGGAGGGATACCTGATCTGGGGATTTTGGTAGTTGTTTTTTTTTTGAAGAGCCCTGAACCCACCATATATCTTCTGCAGTGCCCTCCCGGCTGTCACTGAAATGGCATTATTCGTCAGCGTCTTTGGGCTAAAAAGGAAACCTTTCTGATCACCTCACTACGGAAACTTAGGAACTCAGGCTGAAGGAAGGACCAGTCATCATTTCTGGAAGGAAGAATGCATCATTTTAGACTCCTACACCTGCATTTGCTGGAGGATATCAGTATTAGGATAAACTCCCTGTGATTACCATATTTTTATTTAGTGGTTTGTAATAAAATATATTTTATAGTACGACCAAGACATACAAAAATTTCAGGTGACCAAACTACTGGAGAAACGGGAGGATGTTTTCCAGTTTGTCAGACTGTTACGACATTTAGTGTCGCTTTTATTTTGATTATTACGGTAGACGGCTGGCGGAAGACTGTGGGTGGGGATATGTAAATATCCCCTTCGGAAGTGAGTGGAGCATTCTGGGAGGAATTAATTTGTTCTTTCCTAGGTGCCACCTGGAAAAGAAAACATATTTTAAAGAGCTGCAATAATGTAGAAATAGGAATGGAAGAAAATAAATTACCTTAGGCTGCTCAGACTAATGCGTTATATGCTCACCCTAGCTGTTAGCGCAATCTTTTCTACGGAGTGCGGATCGCTGCATGTACGTATTGTATCGTCAGGTAGGATAATCCTTACCTGTTCCTCCTTCGGGAGGGCAGTTTAGAACATGATGATTGGAGTTGCATGATTCGTGATTAGCGTCTCTGCGTAATCAGGGCTCGCAACACCCTGATTGCTCCTTTCTGATTCTTCCTGACGATCTTTTTTTTTTAGTTGTCATGGTAACCGTTAGAATAAAGTTTGTTAAAAGAAAGTTTTGTTGTTGTGGGATCACACAGTAGAGTTAATTGTGAAAAAGCTCTTGTATTATTGTGGGGTGAGTTTGCAGAGTTAGGCTTCGGGACTTTTACTGCGTTTTTTGCTTATTGATTAGGAACACGTGTCGACACACATATCTAGTCTCATTTGTCGTTTTACATCATAGCGTGTGGTTTTCGTTAGTATTTTTTTTGCTTCAGAAGCTTATGGGAACGAAGAGGTCATTATTTTTTCTATAAGAGTCGCTAATGTCAGTCATGTAAGTCCATCTTGTAGCAAAAAGGGTCACTTGCTGGAGTAGGAGGACTCCCTGGGGAGGCTAGAGCTCCCGCATTGATGAGTTAATATCTAATAGAACACTAATACATGACAAAAGCAAGTTCAAAAGGAGATTATTAAAACATATATGCTATTGTGTGGACATTGTACAAACACTCTGTCTAAAATTCTACAATGTATAGGATGAATGTTCTCAAGAGATTAGAGGCTTGATCAGGAAATCACATCCCACTGCAATCTTGTTTTCACTCTCATCCAGTGATGTATTTGACCAATTTGTGAAAGCTCGGCTTTTATTTTTCAGAAACACTGTGAGCCAGTTACTATAAAAATTATGTAAACTTAAACCACATTTTAAGAGTTAATAAATACTCAAAATTCATTCCAGTTATTTTACTATGTGTGTCTTGAGATTATTTATATTTGTGATATCTATATTCTACATGATGTACTGCTGTGTATCTCTCTTAACTCCTTTATTGATACCAAGTTGGTAGTTTGAAATTGGCCTTGGTGGGAGTTTTTACACCACAAAAGTTGGCAAATGCTCCATATCAGGCTTTGTTGATTGTATAGATTGGAGAAAATGTATAAAATACAGATTCAACTTATAGGACATGTCTGTAAAAATTATATTATGAACAGCACAAAAATTTGAGGAAATATTGTCCCAGGATTTGGAAACTATTATCAAATTCAGTAAAGAGGTCAATCCAAATCCTTGAGGAACCAGTGAAGTTTCACCATACCCTCATTGTTTCATTTTTATCTTACTCAAAAATGTAAGTAAAAATGGCGGGGATTACAATTGAGATGAAAAAAAAATGTGCAAAATGATGTAAAAATAAACTTTTTAATAAAAAAAATAAAAAAATAAAAAAAATACAAAAAATGGCAATCAACATTCATGTTGGAATACACTTGCAGTTAGTATACTACTATGTTTATGAAGTCATGGATACTGGAGTGGAATTTATAATAAAGACTTGTGTATTTTATTATTATTTGTAAGTACTGTGTTACACATCCTTTAATTCAGTAAAACTTATGAGCTTATATACATACATAGTGCATATGTTTTTGAGTCAGTTGTTCAATAGTTACCAGCAAACGCCTGCAGTACCATCCCAAAAAACTGTTATTCATCTTGTTCCTAATTTCAGTGGTCACTTCTCACACTTTACGTTGCATTCTTTCTAGCACTCTCCTTTAGACCTCTCTCCTCTTTTGAAGTATTTCTCCCTTGACTTTTGAAAAACCATACCTCTGGCTTCCCTCCCAGGGTTCTGCCTGCATCTTCTCGACAGCTAATAAATAGTACCTACAGTGTACTGTAGTTGGAAGGGCTTTGTGACCAAGTTGTCCCCTTCACTTGCCCCTTAAATGTTGATGAGCACTACCATTTCTGGTGACGACATCTTGTCTTCAAACACCAAATTGATGCTGCTGGTTTCTGAATCTTGGCTCTCTTAGATGAGTCCTAGCTCAGAGTTAAGGTTATGGAAGCGAGGTGTAGGGAGGCAGACCTGGTTTATGTTGACCAGGGAAATATGATAAAGCCAAAATGAAATGAGCACTTACTGCGGAGGTTATGTCTTAGACTTGCAAATTGGGAAGCACAAACTCAGGTATCAACCTATCACCTGTCTCAATAGAGTCTGTTTCTATGGGGGTTTTAAAGGAAAAGGATGGAAAAATATGTATAAAGAACTAGGCTTGCTTATAGATTGCTGTACTTATAATTCATTGGCTTTTAATCAAAATGGCCTTGGTTACCAGGGAGAAAGAGGGTGAAAAAAAATATTTGTACAGTTCAAGGAGTAAACTAATTTCTGCCCCTACCACATATTTTTCACAGTTAAAAAGTTCAACAAGATGGATTTTGGGGGCACAAGATGGAATCAGTTCAGTTTAACTGCAGCATCCCTTTTTACAATTCAAAGTGCACATCCTCCCCTTTACAGCTGTATGAGTACCAACAGATCACCTAGCTTATTTGTGCCTCATTCCCTCATCCATTCTCCAGAAGTAGCTACTACAAGCACTTCAACACTAGAGGCTTTGCCAATTAGCCAGAGAAGTAGGTTCTCATTGTATTGTGAGAAAAGTGGCTTGTTAATCAGCATAAGTCAGTCACAGAAAGACAAACACTGCTTAATTTCACTTGTTTAGGTTACCTAATCAAATCAGTAGAATAGTGGTTGCTAGGGGGTAAGGGAGTGGGATTTGGCTGAGGGGTGCAGTTTCTTTTTCACAAGATGAAGAGTCCTGCAGATGGGTTGCACAATTATATGATTGTCCTTTAACACTACTAAATTGGACACTTAAAAGTAGTTGTGTTAAGATTTATTTATTTATTTATGCATACAGAACTGGGGTACAGGCCACAGGTACAGGGCACTGAGAGGATTCACCAGAGATAGAGTGAGGAACAGAACAGACGGATCAACGAAGTACACTGCTGAGGGGTGTAGTGGGTGAGACAGGAGGTCTGCTGCGCCTGGTGGATCACCTCCGGGGCCTGGGATCGAACTGGCACTAAGGCAGCTCTGGCTAGCTTGCAGTGCTGTGCCCTAACCAGTTGTGCCACTAAGGAGGGCCCTAGTTGTGTGTTTTTAACCACAATTTTATAAATAGGTAATTAAAATGTTTTAAAAAAATCAATGGAGAATAGGGATTAATTAATAAAAACTATTAGAGCAAGTGACGAGCTAGTTGGGAGAAATAGGGATCAATATCTTGTATAATATTACAAATCAAAGGTTACAAGTATAAAAAATCATAATAGTATTCAAAGAAATAATTGACATTTTAAACTTTTTTCTTTTTGTTTTTAAACTTTATTGCATATTTAAAACTTGTACATTCCAGTAATCCATTTGAAAAAAAAAAAAGTGGCACTCCAATTAAACTGCATTTTACAGCCTGCAGGACACCCTGAACCAACTAGGTATTTTACTCTAGATTTCACTGTTGTCCTACCAGCTTCTTTCTTCACCAACATGCAAGTTCTTTCCCTTCCCCTCAGCCTGAAAGGTAGATGGGAGAAGCAGGTTGCCTTCCTTGTCAGTAGTTCTCCATTCTTTGATGTGAAAAGGGGCAGCACAGTCATTTAAACTTGATCCAACCCCTGTGCATCTTCAAAAGTTACACAACTAAAAAGAGAAATAAGAAGGCAATGCTTGTGGAATGTACAATGCATATTGGCAGCCCGGGCCTCACTATGATTCGCTTGCTTGCTTCTCCTGTTCAGTTGTTTCTTTTGAAGGCAGTGGATTTTTCTCTTGCATTTCTGTCTTCTTCGATTTCAACTTACTGAATTTCTCAATCTCGGTCACATCAGGTTTGTCAGACATGGTTGGAAAAGAAGCCAAGCAAGACACTTGAGCCAGTGAAGTCTGTTCTGTGCTTTGATGGCTGCAGAGCTAAAACCTTTTTATTCTGAATAAATTTAGACCTATAGAAAAGTTGCAGATTATAGTAGTATAAAATTCCTGGACACCTTTCACATAGATTCTCCAAATATTAATATTTTGCATAGCCATGGTATGTAAGGAACCAGAGATTAATAGTGGTAGAATATGGTGAATTAATCTATAGATCTTATTTGCATTTTGCCAATTGTCCACTTCCACTCTTTTTCTGATTCTGGATCTAATTCAGGATTTCACATTGCATTTAGCTGCATTCAGGCTTCTCCAATCTCAAGTTCATCAGTGTTTTTTGTCCTTTCTTGACCTTGGCGCATTTTGAAGAGTACTGTGAGTTATTTTGTAGAATGCCCCTCAATTTGGACTTTTCACTGTTTTCTCATGCTAAGACTAAGGTTACGCATGTGTAGCAAGAATAACACAGAAGTAAATTGTTTGGAGTGGAGAAGACATTACTAAGTCTGAAAACATTGAAGTCACAAAAGAAAGCACTAATATATAACATACATATTAAAATTTTTAAACATGGGCCTCCCTAGTGCAAGGGATTAAATCTCAGCACTATCAAGCTATCGCTACCCATTGCTGCATGAGTTAGATCCCTGGCTAAGGAGCTGACCGACGTGGCACAGCAGACCTCTCCCGTCTCGTCCCTTGTTCCCTTTAAGAGTATATTTCAGTCAATCCGCCTGTTCTGCTCCCAACTCTGTCTCTGGTGAATCCTCTCACCACCCCATACCTCTGGCCTATACCCCAGTTCTTGTATGCATAAATAAATAAATTTTTTTTTTAAAGATTTATTTATTGGCCCTCCCTGGTGGCGCAGCGGGTTAAAGCACAGCATCGAGAATCTAAAGCCACTTCCGCATGAGTTCGATTCCCGCCTGCCCCGGAGGTGACCACATGGCGAGGCAGACCTCTCCTGACCCGCCCATTGCTCCCCTCAGCAGTGTACTTCGTCGATCTGCCTGTTCTGCTCCCCACTCTGTCTCTGGTGAATTCTATCACCCTCCACATCTCTGGTTTGTACCCCAATTCTGTATGAATAAAAACATAAATCTTTAAAAAAAAAAAGATTTATTTATTTATTTGTGCACACAGAACTGGGGTACAGGCCAGAGATTCAGGGGCGGCGAGAGGCTTCACCAGAGACAGAGTGGGGAGCAGAACAGGCAGATCTATGCAGTACACTGCTGAGGGGAGCAGCGGGTGGGTCAGGAGAGGTCTGCCACGCCATGTGGTCACCTCCGGGGCAGGTGGGAATCGAACTCATGCTGCAGTGGCTTTAGCTTCTCAGTGCTGTGCTTTAACCCGCTGCGCCACCAGGGAGGGCCCTAAATAAATATATTTTAAAAGAAATATAAAGAACTCAAATATATGAAAAATGACAAATCTCATTTATCATAAGAGAAATACAAATCATGTTTAACTTACATTTGTAATGATGAAAACTTTTTCCAAGTTTCAGATATTTATTAGTCAGTGTAAACCCCAACACATCAACATAATTTTGTGCATTTAGAGGGAAGTATTTACTGGTTAAGCGAAGTGTGCAATGGCTTCTGGAAGACAGACCTTCATTTCAAGCAGCTGTAGTTTGCTGTCATCTACATTCGCTGAGTGAGCTGGTGTGGATCACGGGGACCCAGTCTATTCCAGAGCTCAGGGAGCTTCTTCCTGTCCTGATTGACTTCTGGATTGGAGACACGCAGTGCTCTCCAGCACCCCTGCGCCTAAATACAAAGGGATCAGGCTGGGGCGCTTCTTGGCCAGACTGGGGAACCAGCAGAGAAGACTTTGGGCCTGGGAGGACAGAACAAACCTGAAAGGCCCTGGAAAGAAGTCTCTGCACAGAATCTGTGCACATGTCCAACCAAAACATTTTAGAACAGGAAAGGCTGTGAGTCAAGTAAATTAGCCTCACTTGTTTGTTGGTGGGAGGAAAAATCACTAACATTCAAGGTGTAATTTGGCAGTACATCAATATGTATCAAAATCACAAGTACCTATATCCTCTGAACTAAGATTTTTTTTTTAGTTAACTTATTTGGGACCTCCCTGGTAGCGCAGCGGGGTTGAAGCCCAGCACTGCAAGCTGGCCGCATTGGCTTCAGTGCAAGTTCTATCCTGCCCAGGCCCGGAGGTGCGCCCCGCCCGTGGGGCAGCAGACCTCTCCTGTCTCTCAGGCTGCTCCCCTCAACAGTGTGCTTCATCAATCTGCCTGTTCTGCGCCCCACTCTGTCTGTGGTGATTCCTCTCACTGCCCCTGCACCTCTGGCCTGTACCCCAATTATGTATGTATAAATAAATAAATCTTAACAAAAAAAGATTTACTTATTCGTGCATACAAGAACTGGGGTATAACCAGAGGTGTGGGGGGTGAGAGGATTCACCAGAGTCAGAGTGAGGAGCAAAATAGGCGGCGGATCTACTGAAATACTGCTGAGGGGAGCAGTGGACAAGACAGGAGAGGTCTGTTGGGCCAGTGGGGTCAGCTCCCTAGCCATTGAACTCCAGTGGCTGGGGGTAGTTTTGTTAAAGGGAAGGATGTCCTAAAGGAACTCTGCAGTCTTATGGACTCCAACCTCTACTCCACCCTACTCAAGCTTTCTGGAACCTACCCCCTACTCCAGTGATTGGAAACTACAATTCCCAGCAGTACCAGGGACACAACTGTGAGGACCCAAGGGCGGAGCTAGCAGGAATTCTGGGACGTTTGGGGGATAAATAGGGCGCGATTGCATCTCTCACTTGGAAACAGCTCTCCGGACTTCGTGTCCGGAGGACGTGACTCATGACTCGGTGTGTTCAGTCAGCCTAGCCGTAGGTATCCCAGTTACTTTGTATCCTGCTCTCTTTCCCTGGGTTACTTCCTATTCCTTTCCCCTTTTGTAAATAAACCTGTTATTGAACCTTTTGTGTGTACCTGCAGTATAACCGAATTGTGAGTGTGCGGGTGAGGCCCCATGTTGGGCGCCAAAAACTGTTACAGGGTATCCCAGAGTGGACTGGGCCGCCTGTCTGTGGGGCCTCACCATGGGCTCAATATTCAGTTATACTGCAGGTACACACGAAGGGTCAATAACGGGTTTATTTACAAAAGGGAAATGAATAGGAAACAACCCAGGGAAAGAGAGAGGGGTACAAAGTAACTGGAATGGCTGACTGAACACACTGAATCACGGGGTCAGGAGAGCCGTTTCCTGAGTGAGAGAGAGACCACGAGATGCAATCACGCCCTATTTATCCCCCAAATGTCCCACAATTCCTGCTAGTTCTGCCCTTGCTTCCTCGCAGTTCTCTCCCTGGTACTGCTGGGAGTTGTAGTTTCCAATCACTGGAGTAGGGGGTAGAGTCCAGAAAGCTGGAGTAGAGGGTAGAGACTCTGCAGAGTTCCTTTAGAACATCCTTCCCCTTAACAGTTTGATGGTGCTGTGTCTTTAACCCCTGCATCACGAGGGAGGCCCTGAACTAGGATTTTTTTTGTTTTGTTTTGTTTTTAATAATTGTTTATTTTTATATCACTTTTTGCCTTTTTCTATCTCAGTTGTAAGCCCTGTGGGCTTTCCATCACCAAATCACCCATGTGCATCACCATAGTCCAGTGTACTCCCTCCCACCCCCCATTTTTTTTATCTCATTCCCCACTCCACCTCCATAAAATGTCTCTGGTATATGGTTGTTGAACTAGGATTTTTATGTTAGGAACTTGTCCTATATATTTGCACATAGTTGTGAAATGAGAATGTGTAGATTTTTTTTATAGCTATGCTTGCAAAAATAAATAAGTAAAAAAGAAAAGAAAAGAAAAAGAAATCCCTCTCTGTCCACAAGGATTGGTTAAGTTGTGTTACAGGAAAAAAATTTTTTTATATGACAGCACCACCTGTACAATAAATGGCAAAAATAAATTGCAGAATCTTTCACATAGTTCACATGGTCTGTTTCCATTTGTTTAAAAAAAAGTGGAAAGTCATGTGCACAGAACATCTTGGAAGGAGGCACAAAGAAGTAGGAGAACTGGTTGTGAGGGGCAGAAGACTGGGTGGGAGAGATTTTCTCCATCTGCTCTTTTGAACTTTTGGAATTTTGAACCATGTACACTTAAAAAGAAAAAAAGATTTATTTATGCATATAGGCCAGAGGTGTGTGGGGAGTTGGTGAGAGGACTCACTAGAGACAGACTATGGAAATACACTGCTGAGGGAGACAGGAGAGGTCTGTGGGCCATAGGTGGGTCAGCTCCCTTCTGGGATCTAACTCTTGCTGTAGCGGCTGCCCTTAACTTGATAGCACTGACTTTAACCCCTGCACCACCAGGGAGGCCCAGTGGTAGCTTTTTTGGTTTGTTTGTAAAAATAGTTTATTTTTACATCATTTTGTGCCTTTTTCCATCTCAGTTGTAATCCCCATGCACTTCCCATCACCAATTCACCCGTATGCCATCACCCAGTGGTAGCGTTTTTAAAAGAATATGGATCTGCAGCTGTCTAGAAATGAAGCTAAGTCAGAGGTGGGCTAGCAGCATGAGACTGAGAAGCTGCTCCCCAGTGATGTCAGCGGTGCACAGATCCTGCTGTTTGTCATGTTCCAGTTATGTGAACATGACTGTTTAAAGTTATGTTAGCAAATGATGATCACATCCATCGAGAATCACAATTTTTTTTCAGCTTTACTGAGGTATAACTGACACACCTGCCATGTTTCACATCTCTTTTCTGTGTATTTCTGATGCTCCCAAGGGGCCAGGCATTAGAGAATGAAAGAGCCCTCATTTAACAAGGAAGCATAATGAGGCCCAAGGAGAAAGTCATCTGCTTAAGGACATCGTGCATATGTGGGGAGCATGGACTAGAACCCAAGTCTCCTCAATTCAGCAATGTTTATTGACCAGCTAGTATTAGCCAGGCTGTGGGTTTGACATG